TCGTAGTTTACGCCCGCTCAACAGCTTTTAGTAAAGCGAGCGTTTTTCTCAACTACGACTTGTGATAGAAACAGGGTAATTTAGTCTTATTAACTGAGTTGATGACGTAAATTGGCCACCATAAAGATTTTTAAAGCTGGCGTTTCGAGCGTTTGCCCTTCGTCCTTCGCTCTAACGAAGGGCAAACGCTCGAAACATCAGCTTTAAAACTCTTTACAGTGGCCAATTTACGTTATCAACTCAGTTGATAAAACTAAATTACCCTGTTATACTTTCCCACCGACACAGCACCACAGTTTCTTTAGAAACTTACCCCTTTTATTCATTATAATGATAATAGTCTGGAATTTTTGCTAACGCAGCTTGGTGAAGCAAATTCCGCAATTTGTTCATCTTCAGCGGGAGATGACGCAACGATAATGGAATTAGCTTGACCAATTCGTTTCTCTACGATTCGTATATAAGTAGAAAGTTGATATAGTGAAACATGCAGTCCGTGTTAAAAAAGCTTTAGTAATTTGTACAATGATGAAACGCTTAGCGCTTCCGTCTGCGTCAATATTATATTTATTCAGCCAAGCCTAAAAGCGGAGGTCCTGTCGGTTCATTTTACAGCCTTTCACTCTATTACGGCTTCTCACTGGCTGTTGAAGAGTTCATGGAAATTTAGAGACTCGAGTCATTACTAGAGATGAGGGAATAAAGCCAAGGGCTTTTCAGTAGTAAAAAGAGTAAGCTTTCCTTTCTTAAGTTAACAATGGAGAAGGTCTTCATGTGTATGTAGGCTCAGTGGACAATAAGAGTGAATGTGACAGTGATAATGACGAGGTTATTTGTGCAGATATCCAGCAGAGGGCATAGTCTGCACAGCTCTCTTATTTTGATTTTGAAAGCTATTAAACCAAGGCACTCATGTAGATACCAGTTGATATAGTTTCGTGCTTCAAAATACTAAAGAGCTACTCTAAATCTATAAAATCAAGAATCAAAAGAGGAGTCCCTACAATAATTTCAGGCCTCATTTTTAGGAGAATCGTTGCTTTTCTTGATTTTCACCTCTTACAACTGACATACCTTATGACCAATTGCTTGTATCAAAGTGTTCCCTTTTTGAAATGGGTTTCAGCCTTTGTAAGAACACCACAACTGAAAGCTTAAGCCTGAGTAGTTAATACCATCGAAATATCACCACATGACGCTATGTGGTAACTAAACCAATTGAAAATTCCATATTCACTCAATTCTGAACATAGGAAGTCAGGCTAGAGACTTGCCTGCTATGAAACAGTGTGCAGTTTCACTAACTCCGATGGCGGTAAAGTACAAAGAAAAAAAAATGGTAGACAATTACAATAAAAAGTTGAAAGTTTTAAAGCTTAAAGATACACATTAAAATCATTAAACTCTATGTGCCTACGGTACACTGTGTTGGGATACCACACTCAAGTATGCACATTTCTTCAGGTTACACCTATGCGGTTACTGGTGCAAAGTGCAAAGGGTTTCCGAGTAACATACGCATGGGCGCATACGTATTACCTTCTCTGTTAACTTCTGAAATGCCAAGATTTGTGCCTGAAATACAGTTTTTGGCATACACCTAACGTAGCAACTTGCACGTAAAAACGTGCAGTCATGTGATAGACCTAATTTCCTAGAATGGATAGGTTACTACGTGCTGCGCAGGCATTGTCCTGAAACGTCCGCTGAGTCAGCAATGCTTGGTGTAGACGTGCCCAAAATGTAGTTGGCCGCGCAAGCTAAAAGTAGCACCTTGTAGGTACAATCACTCACTACCAAATTTTTCTCGGCAGCATGGGTTTCTATCATTTGTTATAAGTATGGGGCTTTGCTGCGCGCGCTATTAGCTCCGCTTCAAGCCATCGGCTGCGTAAACCACTGCTTTGGGGCGCAGTCTGGAGTTCAAGCTGTGCTATCGACAAATTTGGGCCGCTGAAGTTGAATGAAAATTTAGCAGGTGAACTGAAAACGATTTTAAAACTAAACACTTTTCCTAAAACATGACGCAAAACTCTAGCAAAGCAACTTGAAGGGTATGCATCTTACACATAATGTTAATCTAATTACCTCCAAGTCACTAACTAATCTACGCCGGACACTTTCACGGAGAAAGTACAAAATGGTGGTTTCGTTGTCGCAATCCCTTTTGCCTGTGTATTGTTTCTCGTCAGCACTGTCAGCTACTTGTCCTTGATCCTTTACTTATCAAGAAATGGTCTATTGTTCCGGCTCAACTTCTTACATTAAGTATTAAACAATAGTCCTTTTGCTCTTTTTAGCGCTGAGGGACTCTGGCCGAAGCGACGCGAAAAAGTTCGTGACTAATCGGAAATAAATTTTCGGCAAAAGAATATTTGCACTCTACAGGTAAATTGTCACCGGAGTACCCCAGGGGAAAATTGACCGCTGATTTAGCCGCTTTGGGAGAGTGGGTAGCGTAAATTTGTCTCGTCAAGTCAATTCTCAATTTTACCCCAGGAAAAAATTGACCGCTAATGTGGCAATGCACATATCGAGCACTATAAATGAAAACATAAATAAATGAACGGATGAATGAAATGAATAAATAGTATTTACCGGATAAGAACGAATAAGAAGAATAATTAGAGGCAAATAAAATCCCAAAAGGGGGAAGGCGCGACCCCATGTGAGGTGCCCACCTAAGGGAATGAAAGTTAAAAAAACACACAAACACAAGTGTATACAGATACACAAACAGAAGTAAATATAAAGATGGTGGCATCTTTACATTTATCGATGGCCTTTAGTAAGGCATTTGACAGTCATGAGTGGACGCAAATCGTCTGCACTGTAAGTACATATCACAATTTACGAAAACTTCATTATTCTTGTGAAAAATGATAGCTGTCTTATTGAAACTTGATGACAAGTATAAGCCGGCAAAGAAAACAGTGCAAAAGCAATTATCTGTCACATGGATGTCAGCAGCAACAGGATTATGACACCTTACAGGAAAGCTGCTTTACCATTTTCTTAGACTAAAAGTCTAAGAACATGTAGGGGACTCTCCGGGATACTTACAGTACAGACGATTTGCGTCCCCTCGTGAAGGCACGACCGTTTGTCAACTAAACTGAAAAAGCTATCATTAGAACCACATTTAATTAACTAGTACATAAGATTTCTAGATAACAGACAACAAAGGGTCATTTACAGTAATTTCACGGGCGAATGGAAATCATTCAACAAAGGGACCTGCCAAGGAAGCGTCAGTGGCTCTTATCTCTTTAACATTTTCGTCAATGACCTGGAGCTAACCATAAACAACAAGCCAGCCCTCTTTAAATATGCAGACGACTCGACCATCCTAGTTCTGGTGTAGGAGAACAAAGATTGTTGTACCGACTTAGTTGGACAGTTCCAAGCCTGGTCGGATAACAACTAGAAGAACTGCAATCTCAAAAACTGTAAGGAAGTGATTATACGTAAGAAAGGTTTCCGACAAAATTTACCCCCCTCCCCTCCCCGGTCTACAGCATCGAACAACGCACCGAACTACTGGCGCTTAGCATTCTGTTCCAAGGAAATGGCAAATTTAATCAACACACTAATATCAAGCTAACAAAAGCAAGAAAGTGTCTTCATGTAATCATTACCTTAAGGAAGGAAGGGATGACACAAGACGATATGGATATCTTTTCAACAGTGTCGCACCTCCTAATTTTACATATGGTGTTACAGTAGATGGTGCATCTGACTCAGACCTGAGCACCATTCAAAACTTTTTAGACAGATGTTTTAAAGAAATTATACTTTGATTAAACTGACAGTTTGAGATGTTTTAGCAGAGGCTGATAAGAAACTGTTTATGAAAATCAAAGAAGAGAATCATCCTTTGCAATATATAGTACTAAAACCTAAGGAAACCGATTACAATCTTCACCGAAAGACAAGTTTCAAACCGCAATATTAACAATGAAAGATTTAACTGAAAAATTCTTTTTAATCTTTAGATATAAAATTTTATTAACACGCAGCATATATTGTATATCCCATAGTTATGCTTTTTTCCTCTTTTTTTCTCTGTTATTATTATTATTATTATTATTATTACTATAGTTATTATTGTATTTTATATATGTATACCTCAGCACACAGCACATGTTTTATTATTGTAACTTGAGATATGTGTATTTCATCTGAGATTTATTTAAGACATCAACGACCCCAAGAGACAAACATCAAAAAGTGACATCGAAAGAGACTTTATATATACTTTAAAAATGATTTAGAAGAATCCGGAAAGACAAAATTACGAGCGAAAGCTACGTTGCATAAAATGGTTTCGTTTTCTACGCTTTTTCAGGTAAATAATTGTGAGAGCGAAACACTTCCTGAATAGTTAGGCATATTTGTAGAGATGTAAACGAAGACCAGGAGACCATTTGGAGATCATGTTTCTCTTTTACTTCAGAAACAGCTGTTGGTCGACGAAACGCGGTTTTTCTGTGCATGGATGATGGGTCAAACTGAAGGAAGTTAGCCTGATCGGTGTGCGTATGGAATGGAATGAATTATGGCAACTTAAAATTAAGTGTAATAGAACGCTTGTGGAACGTAACTGCACGGGTGTGAAGAAGGTAAGGTTTGGGTTTCTCGGAATTGTTGATTCTCATGCATCATTATAATAACTGTCTCACGCGACTTATTTTAAATTCTCAATTAGACGTGATGGGCAGAGTCGAATTTTATCAAAAATCTATTATCCGTACCAGACGTGCATTCATTATTTGATATATTAGTCACTTGGCACGGCGTTTTCTATATTCAATCTCGATTGTTCGGTCTATTCTTTGTGGGTAAACCATTTTCTTTAAAAAAGCAGGTTGATTCCCTTGCTATTGAAATTCAAGCCAATTGAATGCACTCTTGAGTCCCTTGAGTGACAAGGCGGAATCCAGCGAATACAAAGGTTGTCTTTGATTGAAACATCGAGTCTGCTGATTTGAATATTCAGATCAAATCTTGAGTATGATTAACATGGCGTGGACGGCAAGATGACTACCCGGGCGCGGACAGATTGGATTTTGTGTGGGTCTGATTTTCTTCAATGACAGAAGCGTTTTGGAAAGCTTTTGCGCCTAGCAATGGGAGGTTCTCGACAAGGAAGGTTTCACCCTTTCATTTTTCTCGGTGTGATGGCATTTTTACTCCTTCAGAAACCGCCTGTCACGGGTAAGTTGTGGGCGATTGCAAATTTGACGACACGAAGTCACGCTAACTTTGCAGACTTATTTCATCAAACACTGATAAAACGGGAATTTACAAAATAATACAATGCTCCTAAGTCGATTGCAATACAGAAGCTTTCGTTGTGTGGCAGAGAAGTGCTGAAACCAAGAAAGTTTCAGCAAACATGTTGTGGTTTACAGTGTGGGAAAATTTAATAACACTATCCGCATTTCACCTTACTTAGACTCAGAAACGTCCAACAAATCTGGGAAAAAGTACTTTAATAGCTTTATTTAGGACTATTTTGCTACTTTGCAGAGAACTGTTGTTTAATTGCAAAGTTTACCGCTGCGATACCACCGTCAGTATTTTCGGTCATTGACAAAAGATTATGCTCGCTGTGCATAAATTTGGCATGTTTTGTAAACTGGAACATCGGCTTAAAATGATATGGTAGCGAATTGGTTGACCACTTTTACCCCAAGATAAATGCAGCATTTAAAGAAACAACCAAAAGACTTCTTTAGAACATACACTGATGTCTAGGCTTTTGACTCCTCAAGCACAAGTTTGTTTTTCCCAGACATATTAGACCAGATGTTATTAATACTATTTTGCATATTCGTAACTGAAGATTTGGTCTTGCAGTCCTGGGTTGTCGTTAACGCAACGTGTTGCAGTCAACAGGTCATAGTGAAGACTGACTTTGCTGGTTTTCCTCGAGCAACTTTTGAACAATAAACGTTGTACAAAAGAACTATATACAGAAGGTTGATTAACTAAGCGTTGGTCGTTTAACGAAACTAGGACAGGGTCCATTACTTCTATTTGCATCTTTGCCTTTGATCGTTTTTTTTTTTTTTTTTTTTTTTTTTTTTTTTCAATAAAATAGAAATGATTGTTTTTTCGACCGTACTGCTTAACCCGAAAAAAATTTCCTCCTAAGTTCCGATAACATCGTGCAAGTTTATGAAACATTTTTAGGTGAAGATCACTAGTACAAATTTGCGCATGTTTTAACAAAATGCTAATTTGGGTTCTTTCCACAAAAGTTAATTCTCATTTAATTACCCTATTCGTTAATCCAGTGAAGCTTAACGCCTGAAGAACATTAGAATATTCAGTTTCATGATGATTCCTTTGAACTTTCATGATTGAATTCAGCCTGCTTGCCGTTTTTTTGTCGACAGGTAGATAAGAAGAACATAATTATAATAGTCAAGTCAGTTTTTCCTTTAGTTTCCAATGTTACCTCACCAAAAAGTGTAACTTCAACCTCTGCTGCGTAAAATTTATCATAATTACGTGAAAAAATTCAACTGATTGCCTGAACTGAATTCGCAAAAGCCTTCCTTTAACCCATTATCTTTAAGACTGACCAGCGTCTAATTTCTCCTTACAATATCACCCCTGAATCACGCATCAAGGTCACAAGAAGAGAGAAAATGATCACCAACTTAAGAAGCTTTTGATTATTAAAAAAATTCTCGTTGTCAGCACCTGAGGAAACATAGAGAACGGTATGGATAATATGCATACTGATGTTTGTTGAAAAGACTGTCTAATGTGCATTATTTACTTCTCAGATGCTGCAATCGACATGTTGCCAAATGGCATCACCACAGTTGGTAAAACATTTCGAGTGGTGTGCACAGTTATTGGGGAGAGTTTTGTTGGGTGGGAAGATGTTAATGGTCAGCGGGTCACTAAAGTTCCAGAACCGGACGAACTACCTGAGGAGAAATACTACAGGCTAATTCAAGGAAACAGTCACACACTTGTGATCCAAAACGTTGCTGTAGCGGACGGAGGGAACTACACCTGTCGTGGAGACAAAACTGTCAAGGAGTTTACTCTATACGTCGAATGTAGGTGTTTTTGATGCTCAGTTTTTACAGAAGTACATTCCTTACTCGTTACGTAAATTTTTTAGAGCGTTTTTCGATGGAGTGTTGTAAAACCAAACCAAAGTCATCACAACAACCAACGAGAAGAAAGGAAAAAACCTTAAGTTGCCAATGAGAACTTAAAGTTAAAACAGCTAACCAGCGCGCGACCAGGTCGTGATTGGTTTTAGTTTTGCATCTGATTGGTTGAAAGAGTGGCGCGCGTTTTCTGGACCAATCACAGAGCGAAATAAAGCAAAATCAAATCAACCCCAGTTTAAATTCGATACTTAACAGAAAATTGCTTGAACTTTGCCTAGTCTAACCTTAATTTCAATTGTTAAGAGACACCTTTATCGAATACACAGACCTTCCAAACAGAGCAAGATCTGGATACGAGATAAAGGACAGTCTTTGTGATCTCTGAAATGGGGAGTGGGATTTTGAGAGCCAAGTAAACGATTGATTTATTCGTCCCTTTATTAGCTCAAGATCGATTTGATTCTTACTGACTAACATTCCACTCTTACGACAGCTTCTGCATCTGATTCAAACCTGCTCTATCGTTCAATGACATACACTGTATTCGACGGTAACATTGACTTGTATTGGGTGGGAAAAAGTTAATTTGTAATTTTTTCTAGTATAACTCCCTTTTCAACTTTCTTGATGTCATCTATTCTTACCCTAATCCACTTTTTTCTTTCGTTTCCCTTCTCTGTTCAGTTTTCGTCACACAGTTTCCCTCGGATCAAAGTCTCTTCGTTGGAAAGGCAGGAATCATTCAATGTTCCGCCAACGGCTATCCTAAACCAACTTTCAAATGGTACAAAAAGAGAAGGTTGATTAACTTATCCGATCCTCGCTTCACTCGTCTGTCCAACGGCTCTCTTCTGATTGATCCAGTTCACGAACTGGACGCAGATGAGTACATCTGCCGCATTGAACAGCTGGGGGCAGGTACAGACCAAGGAACAAATCTACGAGAGGAGCAGAAAGTCATCAAGGTCATTGTCAACGGTACGTTTCGTCTAGAAAAGGGAAGCTGACTTGCTTGTCTATTGTGAAATGTCAGGATTAGCTTCTTTGCGTAAACTTCAGTAAAAGGCCAGGAATTAAAAGAAAAAAAACTGTGAAATAGAAATATGGGTTAATTAATGGAGTAGTTTTCAAGTGACTGTCGTAAAACCGAAAAAAAAAGAAGAGATCACAACAGTCAATCGTAACTAAGGTTAGCGTTATCAGTAGCCAATGAGGACTCAAAAGAAAAAGAGGCGCACTACGAAAAGCGGGAAAACCCGGGCGACCGAGTCATGCGTTTAATTTGTTTAGAGTATGGTGTGTGTTTTCTTGACCAATCATAGACCAAAGTAAAGCTAAAAGAAAGCAGTCCCAGATTACTTTCGCCATGCAATTGAAAATTATTCTAATTAGCAGACCCTTTAATTTGTTGCCAGTAATTGAAATAGTATGCCCGTTACTTCTCTGATTCCCCAGTTTCCAGTTCATTACTGAAGGCAATTTGGTTATCCTTTGTTGTGGTGCCTTCATGATGCTTTTTTATTAGTTGGAAATCTCTTACTTTCAATTTATTTTGAGGGTTTTCACCACTGATGACTGCTTTGCACTTAAACATCTCACTTAAAATAATTTCTTTTCTCCTACAGGTCCGCCACGCATCAATCTCGACAAGTCCTCGCCCTCTAATCTGTATTCGTTCATTGGTAACCCTTCCCCAGTGACAATAAAGTGCCTATGGTGGGGACATCCAATTCCTGATATCCGCATAACAAAGGGTAATAAAGAGTTACCGAGTGAAGAGGTACAATCTAATCCACCACGATTGGAGGCTACTGTAACTGTGAAAAATGATGAGGATTTTACAACCTACACATGTCACGCGACCAATGTGTACGGCTCAGCGTCTTATGACGTCGCCATCAATAAAGCCGGTAAGTGATGTTGTCCAAAGGGATGGGAGGGTCAGGTTGGTTTGTCAATTTAAGTTCCCTTCACGATAACTGTGTGAGAGTTTGAAAGTCTCATACCCAGTATGCAGTGAAGTGCTTTTTTGTTTGTTTTGTTTTGTTTGTTTTCTTTTCCCTCGTTTGTTTGTTTGTTTTAACTCAATTTTAAATTTATGCTAGGAAAACCCAGTCCTCCGACAAACATCACGTTCGTTACCACATGTGATCACTTAACAGTGGCCTGGACAGAGCCGGAGTCTGATGGAGGTTTGCCACTGACGCATTACACCATAGAGCTAAAGGATGCCGGGAACTCGCTCGATGTCGTGTATATCGGTGTACAAACTACAAGGTTTACCTTCACAAACCGCGAGGGCGTGAAACCGAGGACACTATACAACGTCGCATTACAGGCTTTTAACCAACTTAATGACGGAAATAAAGGAGAGAACGATGTCGTGTCTGCTTACTGTGAGTGATATGGTGACATCTTCTTTTAAATCAAAACATGGAGCTACGCTTGTATTTTGATGTTAAGCCTAAATTTTGCAAATTTCGTTCCTAAAATCTGTTTTTATCTTCGCTATTCGTTAATAGTTCTCGACCGCTCATAGAGGATTTAAATGGGGTTAACCGATAGCCGCAAAATGGCAAAAAAGTTTAGCCTTTAACCGTAAAAATTGAAAAATGCTTACAGTTAGTCGTAAAAAGTATTAACCGTAAACAGTTTTGTTTAATCGCAGCAGAAAAAAAATTAACTGTTAGCCGTAAAATAGCCAAAATTTTGAACGATAGCCGAGAGAGCCATCAATCCATGGAAGCCCTCTTTTGAGTTTATTATTACCTCTCAGTTTGGTGGTATTCTCTCTGACCGAAATAATTTTTTGAAGTCTCATTCGAGATGATGGTTTTTTTAGTACCTCTCATAAAAATATTGATCAACATGTAGAGAGGTAGTAGTCCTTTCGAAACGAGCCTGTAGAACAGGCGCCATTTTGTGAGCGGGTTCGGAGAAAGGTCTTCTCGAAAAAGAATATGAAAATTAACTAGAGATAAGGAACGACTGAGAAAACGAAAGAGTTGAGTTGTCAGAAGTCCCTTACTTTAAGCGAGACCACGCTGAAACACTGAGCGCATTGACCATTTTTCTCTTCTGTCACCACCAGGCCCTCCGAGCGGTTCCTTTAACATCACGAACACAGAGACGTGGTTAAACTCCACAAGTTTCATACTGAAATGGACTCGCCCACCCCTGGACGGGGGTGATCCTATTCTGATTTACGACATTGAGTATAGCAAGGCTGACGCCGATGGAAAGTTTGTCCACTGGAATTCACGGAAGGGTATTGGTGCGCAAGAGTACAACGTGACAGGATTACAGGGAGGGTCTAGGTACGAGTTTAGGGTATTCGTGTCTAACATCGCTGGAAGGAAAAGAGAGCCCGCGAGGAAGGAATTTAATGTATACAGCGGTGTAGGAGGAGGACCCTCCCCAGGTAAAAACACATAAGGTTTGATCATAGTAAGTGCAGTTATAAGCTATTCATTTACAAGCCGACTGTATTGCGCAAAGGGCTTTCCTTGGCGATGACATTACGAAAATTAAGGTGGCTCTGAATAGCCCTATGGCTGATACAAGTTATCAACGGTTTACAGATAGGAAGGAAGGCTTGAAAAAATGATGATGGGTGGGGGGGGGATAAAGTTTTCAAGTTGTGTGACCTTTCCTGTTTTAAGTTTCAACACAAACAATTTTGTTCTACATAATCTCTTGTGTTTCTTTTCTACGTTTGGTAAAAATTTTGGAACATCAGGCTAAGAAATTTTCCTGGGGGCTACTCGCAGTTAATATGCATCTGTCATAATCGTGTCTTTTTCCAGTTCCTGCTCATAGATGTTGTATTAGTATGTTTACAAAGCAAGACTTTTAGACTTAATCCTGACGTACCTAGCAACACCAGGTTTTTCCAGCGCAATAAAACTCTCACCCACAATCAACTCTTTTTTGTCTAAGAAATGCTGAATACGAGTTATCTATGCTACAACCGCGCGTTAATTATTTTGAACGAAGTTTTAGCCATAGCGGGGCTTTTCTAGGACATCACATACAGATAGAAATGAAACAATTAAACTCCCGAAGTGAATTATAAAGATAAAAATATTAAGGAAACACATCTACCAAACTGATACCGTCTGACTCTTTAATAAAATATTCATACACGGCATCCCTGTAAGGCATGTTAACTTGTAAAACAAGTTGTTAGCTTTGCGTAGTTAGTTTGTTTTATCCTTTCAAATAAGTGTTCGTTTTTACCTGAATGGAAACACCGTGTAAAAATTAAGTTTAACTATTATTACGAATACTGGAACTAATAGCTACCTTTAGTTTAGACTAGAACAGTGGATAGCGTCGAAGGCGCGCTCCGATTGGCTATTCCAACCCCGAATATCCTTTGCTACGAGCAACTCGTGCGGGATTTGCGCCCGAAAATATTGTAATCGTTGCAGAATTGAATAAGTTAAAATCATCTTTTTGTGCTATATTATCTAACTGTTTTAGCATATTCTAAAACAACTTTTCACCTCAGTGTCGGCGGCTAGTAGTGGATATTTACCTCGCTGGTTAGCGGCTTAGTAAATATTAACGGCTAGCCACCTCCACTTCCGTACATAGATGTTAATTATATATCGCTTTCCCTCCTCAAAGGTACAGGAACAGGAATACTACCCACTCAGCCAGTCCTAGTATACGACATCTCAGTCAACTGCACGTCATCTTACATGCAAGTCGACTTTGCCCTGAAATCTACTTATCTTGATGTCGAGACTTTCCGCTTTGAAAACAAATCCTGCGGTCCTCTCACCGTCAGCTCTACACGTGTTTCCTTGAGAACACCGCTGGACGCCTGCGGGACCTCAAGTCGGCAGAGCGAGGAATCCATAACTTATTTCAACAAAGTCGTAGCACAAACCAAAGATCAGAAAACTGTGTACGTCGTTGAATTTCCGTTCTCTTGTACATACAACAGACAAGATACAATCGGAACTCCAAGTTTTCAACCAAGAAAAAAGATCACCTTTTTTGAAGGTAAATTTTGCTATAAATTCGGGATCGGTGTGAGTATCTGAACCATCCCTTAAAACAAACAACATCCAACTGATATCAAGGTAGGGTTAATGTTGGGTTAGAGGAGGGGTTGGTGCGCAGTTTCTCATATACTGACATGGATCCTAAATTTCTTTGTATTTTTGAGCCAAAGTGTGATCATGACGGAAATAGAAAATGTTATTTAGAGATAAACATCCCTTGGCGAAAGCTACTGTAACACTTAAATTCTGTAAACAAAAGAACGAAATTTCTCCTAAAATAAGAGTACAAATGTTTCAGGCGTAGTACTTTATCGTCATTATCATAATTTGTTCGTTCGCGCTCACCCACATATCACTACCACACACTTTTGATCACGCCTGTGTATCACGCACTCTCACTTAATCATCAATTTTGGAGTTGAACGTAAGCCCTTTTTGGAAGCAAAATGTCAGCAAAACAAAAGAGGCCAATATAGAATTTAAGAGGTTATTTCCTCTATCTTCTTTTAGAGGGGTATGGTAACTTCTCATTTGAGATGGGTCTGTACCGAAGTGCCGAGTACTTGAAACCGTATGATGTATCAGAATACCCGGTGAACATCGACCCATTCGGTCAGTTGTACTGCCAAGCAAAATTGGACACCTCGGACCCAGATCTCATCCTCCGTGCTGACATGTGCGTGGCCACACCCAGTATGGACCCATCACACAGCGTACAGTACAAGTTTATCGACAACGGGCGAGTATTTTGTTAAATAGCATAGACGCAAGTGAAATATCGTTTGAAATTTTACTACACGTCTCGTTTAAGCATCATTGTCCTTTGTCATCAGCCACTTTTTTCTTGTTTACATAAGAGTATTCCTTTGAACTAAGAGGTGTTGCAGTAGTTCAAAATCATCTGGTCCTCATTTTTAAAGCTAGGCTTGCGGTAAAGTTGATTGTGAGTGGGGGCTTCCGTCCCCCCTAATTAATTCTCCGAATTGTTAGCAAGACACTTTTTTTTGCGAAAATTATTAGGCTGCGTAATTATCTTTTTTTTTCTCTCACTCGACAGAGTAGGGCTATTGAAGAAAAAAAAGTAAATAAAATCAAACCGTTCCAGGACCATGCTTTTAATCCACACTATTGTTTTTGTCCTTTCCAGTTGCCCTATTGATAACGGGACAGATTACACCCACACTTTGACAGACACGCAGCGCTTTCAGCTTGTACCGTTTCGTTGGATCGCAAATTACACTGTGGTTTATCTTCATTGTAATGTCATCGTCTGTCACAAGGAAGGAAATTCACGCTGCAGCAAAGGATGTCAGTCATCAGATCTTCGGCGCAAGAGGAGCACTGAGAACGAAGAAGAACACCGCATCACCCTCGGTCCTGTCATGCTCCGCAAACCTCTTCAATCACAATCCTATAGGACGTTTGAAGGTAATTTTGCACTCAAATTCTCCACACTGTTCTCTTTGCGTTTCCAAAGGTACCGACAAGGAGAATTTGTCTGACAGTCGCGAGCATTTTAAATTGGTGATCATTTCCATTATCCTCGTGATCTTTGCATTTGATTTAAGGGTGATACTGTAAGAAGAAAGTAGCAGTCAGTCTCCGTTTGGGGTAAAATGGATAATACTTGTTTTTATTTCCGCATTGTTTGCCCCTAACTTACTACTGGTAAAACATTGATTACGAGATTCACGAAATTGTTGAAAGGGATATGTTTACTGAGGCTTGTGGAGATCCACCCATTTACGGAAAGAGTGGAGCATTAGGCTGCCGGAGTGTGTGGTCCTCTCTCAGCTTATCCAGCCTGTCCCAGGTATTCAGTTAGTAAAACGAAGCGCGATAGTATACGGTGCAGGAGTGAAAAAGGGAGGCTTGGGTTGGTTTGCGTTCTCCACGCGACCCGACCCGGCCCAGACTTCCCTCGTTTAAGTTTTGCCGACTGAAAGCCTGGAACAGGCTAAGCCTACTGCATTGACATGGTTGTGGTGCAAAATGGTCGGAGTAATCAGTTTATGAAAATGGTCTAGGATTCGAGCATAGATTCATTCACTTCACAATCCTCTCTTTAAAGCGTTCGTCCAATAACACTTTCTTTATCTGGTCTGCAGATCCTGTACGTCAATCAACTAACGTTCACAGCCTCCCTTTATGGGTAATAATTCTTGTTATTTGTGGGACAGTGGTCGGAGTTGGTTTGGTACTCATCGGCAGTGTACAGCTCTACTGCTTTGTGGCAGCAAAATCTCAAAATGGGGCAGCCGCTATCGGAGAGAGTCATTCAGAAGAGATAGAACTTTTCTGCTCCGAAAATGTTTAGGTTGTCTTCTGTCTCAATTTTTTTATTATAATATAGGCATAGAGGGGTAGGAAGATTTAGGGTAAAAAGGAATTTCAGGAAACTACAAGAGTGCGAAAGTAGAGAAAATAGTAAAGTAACTCGGGTTTAATGAAATCTTCATTGACCTGCTTTGTATACTACCTCCTGGGAAGGCGCAGTTACGTTTCCTCGGAAAGGCGTGGGGCACAGTCTGTGATAACTAGATTGCAAAAATAAAGGCCATGTTACAATGCGCACCGCAATCCAAGAAAAGGAGATCGAGGTACACCTCAGGTAAATAACAGACTCGAGAGAGGGGTCCTTTCAAAGGGCTTCTGGACTCGGTCCCCACCTGAAGACCAAATGGCACAAAACAAGAAGAAAACCTGTCTAAAACAGAAGTGAAGGGTTGTGTTCGTTAAATATTTTAAGGTATCTCTGCAGCTCTGTATGCGCTTTTGCGTGCTTATATATTCTGCTTTCGTTCGTAGGATGGTCATGTTAGGCGAGCAAATTAAGCCTGGTTAACAGAACATTTGAATACATGCTAGTTCAATTTCCGTACGTTTCTATCCAGTAAACTAAGTTTTCGTTAGAAAACAATTGTGCAAATTTCAATAAATGGAACTTACTCTTATTTCTCCTCGAGAATAACTTTTCTTGTGAAACTTCGCCAGCCTCTACTTTCCTGATTATAGGGAAGAGGAACACTATTTCTGTGCGAACAATCTAGTTCCTAGGTATTCTCTAGGAAATAAGAGAGATTCTGGAAACGATATGGCTGTGGAAGGCTGTTGGAGAGCATATTAAACCTCGCAGAGGAGAGAGAAACATGAAACCAAAACGCCAAATCCCAGGGAGCTTAGAGAGATACTAAAAATTTCTGGAAAGGATATAATTTCGCCCCCGCCTTACGAAGCTACTCACAGTATCCTCAAAAATTCTTATTCAACCAGGTAATGAAATCAAGCCACCAGATCCATCAGATGCTAGGGCGACGCATGATACCCAAAGTTCATAAAGCGAAATTTTTTATTTTATTATATTCTTCCTCTAACATGGAGTTTAATTACGAACTGCATTGTATTTTATACATGACATTTGTCAGTTTTACTCCTATTGGATAAAAAGAGAGTTTGTAGGCGGCAGTTTTACGGCGTTTCTTGGTTTGTCGCGCGTCTTAGCGTAACATTAATGTGTTGCGTGACAAATATTACAAAGACGCCTACTGAAGCACGTATCGAGTAAAAATTGTCCAAATAGAGAGGAAAGAGAGAGGGTTCACAACTTTTTCTTGTAGAAATCAGAAAACTATAAGAATTAAAAAAAAGATTACAAAAACAAGCAAATAAAACTACAAACCCTAACCAATCTATTACCACTACTTTTACTCCGTAAACATCAACAAATTAATATAACTATATTTTCATCAATAATACCTAAATTTACCAAATAGAATCCATAAATTTCATCTAATTTAAGTATTTGCTGAAAACCTGGGGAGCTTAATACTGAAATGCAAAGCCCTCTGTTAAAACAAATCTAATTCTTCTTTACAAACCATTTCATCATCGATCAAAAACATACAGTATCATCACCAAACTTTCACGTGAATTTAACTGCTTTTTCCCTTCATACCTTGTGTAAATATAAAAGATATTTGAGCTCGTGAGACAAAGAAAATGCCTCGTGTTCAAGAAGGAAAAACCCTTTGAGCGCGATTTGGAGCATAATGCAGGCGGTCAATAGACAAACGCGTTGCGTGACTCACGCTTCGTTAACTGTGTTCGGCTTAAAAATTACGATGTACTTAATCATCACAACCAGGCAAACGTTTCAAAAACCTCTATTAAAACTCCAGGGTAAGAAACTTGGCTAAAAATTAAGAACACGTATTATCACGAAAAAACCATACGACATGAGCCGCGATTACACTTTCACTCCAAAAACATTACGTTACTGCAAAGGCCCAAGTATTGTAACACAACTGAATCCCAAGCAGAATTAGACAGCTATCATCCAGTCAGTAAACAACAACTGTCCTTCCCACGTTCACACGCTAAGCTCCCTAGCAAGCCAATGAGTAGGTTGATAATGTAAATATGTCACAACATAGAGCGGCCAATTTAAATTATATACTCAGTTGATTAACCTAATCAGTCTTGTGACACCCCCACCGACGCACCTCCGCAGTTTCTTTAGAAACTTGCCCCCTCCATTCAATGACTGGGTTGCCTGGCAACTCAAGGACCAGAGAAAGATAAGTCCAAGCTCGGAATCGCACTCTTATCTTGTGAACCAAGAAAACCGGGTGCCATTACGATAGCTGATGTATAAATCACTACAATCGATTATTAACAAACGTACTACAAAATTTATATTGTCTTCTTGAGGAATGTTTCTTGCGTTGAACTATCACTCGTCGACACTATAAATGTCAGAGCAGAAGATACATCCCTCCCAGACAGATTGTAAGAAACGCTCTGGGCACGAGGCTTGATTGTGAAGATGTCTCTAAAAAAGACAACAGTAGGGGAAAGTCAAAAAACTTGCACATTCAATCCTTACTTCCTTGGTGGTACTTGGCTATCTACCATCTGATATCCAACGCGCGCTTGTGGAATAATTGTTAAAAGGTTGACGGTAAGAACCAATCAAAACGCGCGTAATGGCGCGCAAAACAGCTTATCATACAAATTAACACAGTTAACTGAGTTACATCTTACCTTCAGGATAGTTTGTGTTGTAATACTTTATCACCTTCTCGCTTTCGCCCCCTTTATTGATGGCAACCAGGACAAATTTGTAAGTCTCTTGGTTATCCATTTGACTGATTTTCGCCTCTTCTTTCTCGGTTTCTATCGTTTTCCAAGGTCCATCGCTTCCCTTCCTCTCAACACGGTACTCTAGTTTATATTTAATGTTACTGTCGCCTCCGTCGTCCTCAGGCCGCCGCCATTTTAATGTGAATTCGTCCTCCTCCAGAAGACCGCCCTTGGGCGAGTAGATGATTGGTCGACCCGGGGCACCTAAAGAATAGAGACAAAATGGCGGCGTTTTAAAACTGCGGTCGCACTACAGGGAAGAGAGGAGATCTCTTCTCGTAAGGTAAGGGTATTTTTTTTAATGTAATTAATTTCTAGGCGATGTGACTGCCATTGTTAGCCTTAAACAAGTGTTTAAATGAGAAAATGAAAAACTACCCCTTTGCCCAAGCCAAGAGCTGATCGAGTCAGTTTTGATCATCAGAATAAAATTTCACTATGTCGACGTTGACGTCGATGACATTAACCTCACAGACATTTTTATATTCCGTCAAGAAGTCTGTAATGACCAAATTCATCTTTAATGGTTTTCTCAAGTGCTTCTCTAACCTCGTTACTCGAGTGAATGCCCAAAACCAAAGGAAATATACAAAAGACAAACGCAAGCACCAAGCAGTTGACCAAAACGATTTCGGTAAACAGAACATTTTTTGAGCGACAAAGGTCATGTGACCAAGAAAGGCGGGAAAACAAAAACAGGGAACCAGCTAACAAAGTCAATAATTGACTTTACAAGAGCAGGACTCCAAGACCACTTATTTACCAAGCCTGATGAGCTGGACTTAGATCTTGACACTATGTATTAACTACAACAGCACTCGCGCATGCTCTAATTGACCTTGACCGAGTTGACCCAGCTGGGCACGTGGGCTAGCCAAAGTTTTTATTAAAAGAAAAGTTGACCCCGCTTGGACGGTGACACTACCGTCAAAAAAGGGTGACCCAGCTAAGGTCTTGCTTGTGATTAATATTGTCTATTATGTTGTACTTGAAGCTGGTGCTCCTGGGGTTAGGTGGCTCTAACTCCTTTTCCCATGAGGGGAACTCTTTGTTTTAGTTCATTGTTACATGATGTGACAGATTCTTACTTCACAGCTTTGATGAGCAGACAAAACCTTTTTGTGGGAGGTCAAAGAGCTACAGAGCAAATCCTTTTTATCATTGGTACTTCTGTTTATTATGTGACACAAGGTGTTGCTGACTTCCGGTCCATGAATGAAACTGTTTATGGTTCATGTAAAATGTATATGATGCCAACTTTTAAGTTTACAAAAGTGTGGATGAAACCCTAGTGTGTAATCATGCATATGAGAACTTTATGAATGTCATATTCTTATTAATCGTGCATGCAAGCTAATTTCAATTTTTAACCACAAGTGTGACTAAATGTCAACAGAACATTATGGAGAACATGCATATTGATGTTGGGGTGTAAAGGATTGACCAGAAGCAGCAAAATTTTGTAGGTTGTAGGTTTGTAGAGGTAACAATGATTGAATTTTACTTACAGAACTGGGTAGTCTTTGTTTCCACGACACTCGTGTCTCCCCATTCTGCCTTGTTGGTAGCCCTCACTTTGATACTGTAACGAGTGTTCCGTTCCAGGTTTTTAATCGTGTATGTTGTCGAATCACCATCAACGTTACGCGTCGTGGTTTCGTAATTCAAAACATATTTGTTGATAGGCATGCCACCATTTTCACTGGGCGCTTTCCAAGTAAGTTTGATACTATTGCAGGTGGGAACTGGTTTCAGACCTTGAACCTGACTTGGCTTTTCTGAAAAGCAAGACAAAAAGTTCTGATAAAGTTATTTTTACCAAACACCGCCTCCTTTTGTCTAGTGACTAGCATCCGATTTCTATTTACTCTTTACACCCTAACATCAGTATGCAAATTCTCCATACTACTCCCTGGACATTTCCTAAGGTTCTGACAAGGAGAATTTGTTCAACAATCAAGGGCTTCTTTGGTTGGTGATCATTTCCTTTATTCTCATGACCTTAATGTTTGATTCAGCAGTAATGTTGTGAGGAGAAATTGGCTGCTAGTCACTCTTAGGGGTTTAAGGGTTAACAGTATCACCACTAGCACTGCATTGAACATTAAAGTCACAAGTATGAAAGAAATGACCAACAAATATAGAGCCTTAGGATTGTTAAACAAATTCTCCTTGGCCACACTACAAGAAAGTAGAAAGAACAGTAAGAGGAAATTGTATACTGATATTAGGATATGTTGGGTCAAGATCTAATAAGCAATTCACCCTTCATGCTGCTACAGAATTTCATCAAAAAAGTGGCTTATTCATAACAAAATTAACAAACTAGCTTGTTTCAAAAGGACTTTCCAAAATAACCTTCAGGGTGTGCAAGCTACTTTTGTAATTTTCAGAGAAGTGACTCAGGTATACTGTCAGGAAATCCCTCTACAACAAGGTACAAATAAGTCATAAAGCCACACATTGCATACTACACTAGCAAATCTCCTCAGTGACATTAAACAAAATTTCATACTTGCTGTTTCCATTGTCACAGTTCTATTTGTCCATCCAAACTTATTACGTGCATAACACTTGTAGTCACCAAAGTACTTGATTGCATCTGTTATAACCTCGATCTCTGCTGTTCCAGTAGCATTGGACTTCAGCTTTCCATCAAAAGTCATGACAACCCAAGGTGTAGGATATCCCCCATATTTGCAGCGTACATATGTTGGATCACTGTTCCCCACGTAAGAGAACACAGGGTTGATTGAAGCCTTCTCATCAAAAATAGGTTTAGCTACAAGGATATATTATACATCAGTAACAG